ATTGATTATAGTACTTTTCTCTTCATTTTTCTTTCCTATAATAATTTTAATCAAAATTTTCATCAAAATTTCGATCATAATTTTCATCAAAATTTTATTCTTCTCTGTTTTTTCCTCTTTCATTCTTCATTTTCTCTCTCCTCTGTAATTGTATTTTGTTTAATTTATATCAATTTGATCAATGTATGTATTTCGATTTTTTTTGTGGTGATTTTGTAATGAATTTTGATCAATTTGATTAGGTTTGTGAACATGAAATTCATATGAATTGAATTTACGACATTTAATTATGAACATAAGAAAATTGAAGAAATAAAAAATAAAATGATTATGAAACATACGCATTATAAGTATTAAAAATGTGAACATATGCACTAAAAATATGAATATATGCATTTTAGAAAATGAACATACGCATTCAAAATATAAACATATGCATTTGTTCATTTTTTGAATACGTATGAACATAATTAAGCATTTTAGAAGGTGAACATATGTATGAAAAATATGAACATATGGATTTCAGAAAGTGAACATATGCATTTCAGAAAGTTTACATAAGCATTTTAGAAAGTTTACAAAAGGGTTCAAATATGAACATAAGTATTTAAGAACGAAAGTGAACATATGCATAAAAAATATGAACATATGCATTTCAGAAAGTGAACATAAGCATTCAAAATATGAACCCAAGCATAAACATACAAAACAGATAAAATGAGAATATTTTATGAACATTAAGAATATTTATCATATGAACAACAAATAATAATATTATGACATTTCAAAACATTTTATGAACATAAGGTATCCGTTTGATTTCACTAAACTTTTTAACAATTCTAATAAAAATTTCGAACAACAGATTATCGAACAATATTCAAACAAAATTAAGTGATATTCATATAAATTCAAACAAAATTAAGTGAAATTTACACAAAATTACCTTTTTGGAGAAAATCCATTTGATTTTCATCTCATCTCAAATATCCATGGTTGTTTTGGAGGAGAGAGAGTGAATTGTGTTTGATTGTAAGAGAGAGAAAATCAAAGAGAAGAGTAATAAATTTCAAAAATTTACGTTTGAGAGTAACGATTTTTTTTAAAAAAAATAATATTTAAAAAAAAAAGTTGTTGGAAGTGGCAGTTTTGTATAAATGGCAATTGGGTGGACTACATTTTAAAGTTATGTTCAGTTTTTTGGGTGGGCTCGTTTTGGTTTGGGCCTTTTTTTAATGGGGCGCGTTTGAAATTGGGCTTGTGGGCTGGGTTTAGACCAATTGCTTGTAAAGCGGGGGTCCAAGGCCTTTTTTTGTTTACCTTAATATTTCAAAAGCTTAGATAAGATAAGATAAGTTTTGATAAGGGTTGATTAAGGGTTAACGGTATACAATGTAGCTAACCATTATAATTTGTATTTTTTAAAATAAAATAAATAATTTGTCAAAAAGCACAAAAATTAAAAAATCTTGTACTCCCTAATGTGAAAAAGGATTTTGCTAACGAGCGCCCCAGAGCGTTAGATAACTAATGAATATATTGCTTAATATAAAATTAAGTTAAGAACGCATGACCAAATCACGCGTCGTTCGGTGTAATTAATGTTAATTTTATTTTAATATTTTCATTTTTAGTTTTCTTATCTATTGCTAGAGGGCATTTGTTAGCTTTTGCGTAAGAAAAATACGGGAATGTTTGTGATAAGCTAAGCCCAAACTAATTTGAGAATTCCAAGTTTGGAATTATTGGTTGAGTACTGATTCAAATTTACTACGGAATATAAAGGATGAAAGGTATATAAGCCGAAAGACAATTGTTCTTATAAGATATTCTCATGCTATTTAGACGAAAAAGTGAAAAACTGTACCTCATTCGTCAAAAACGATGAAAAAAAAGTCGATTAGTTGCACATTCAACTTGTTCAAAAGCAAATGCCTGTTAGACCAATACTTCTATTAGTCAGCAAGACTTATTTAACTAGTCGTACTTTTTTTTTTTTTTGACAATAGTACTCGTACTTATCTAAAATTGCCACCATATTCAAATACGGAATGGATTCCAAATCCCCAATCAATTACCGGGAGTGACATGTGTCATATCCTGGTGCTGTTTTTTTCCCTTTAAAACTCCCCCTCCCCTTTTAACAATTTTTTTTTGGAATATTTTTATAATAAAACTATAATAATATTATTCCAAACTTACATATTATCTCTATATAAAATCTATTTCTTTTTATTGTGTTCTAAAATTTTCCATGCACATTTACCTAAAAAAGTTTTCCAACTCTTTTTTAATTATCTTTTAAACGGGTATTATTGAGTTTTACCGAAAAAGAAATAATAAAATTGATTCATATCGAATTAATTGATATTAAAGAAATTACTTTAAAACATCACTTTAATTTTTTTTTTTCAAATTCCTTTTTATTTTGTTTATTAGACTAATGGAGTATTAAATATGACCATAAAATAAATGTTGTGTTCGACAACTATATTATATGTCTAATTCAAAAATGTAAAATATCAATCGATTTTTTGTTATTATATTATTAAAAAAAGTTAATATCTTAGTAAATACAAAGAAGTTAATATCTTTTGATGAAACACTTTATTAAGATAATAATTTTATCACATTCGACAGTCATAAATAAGCTGCATTTTAAAATCGGACATAGTGACAAGTGATATATTCTTGGTTTTTTTTTTTTTTTTGTGGATAAATAGCTATCATCGACAAATAAAATTTTAAGGCAATAAACAAACAATGATCAAACTAGAATTATTGGATAGCTTTCAAACACATTTTTATATAATAACAAAGAGCGACGATATCATGTAAAGCATCAATCCATAAACAGAAAATGTACTACTAATAATATAGGTTATTGTTGCCTAATTATTGATTGTAATTGCCTTTAATAATCTAAGTAGTATTTATTTCCATTGAAATTCTTTTATTGGATATAAAGATGATATATTATTTAATTTGAAATTTATATATTTACATGTATATTGTGCCAATAGTTTTATTGTAGATTTTAATTTGTTGTTTGATTAATGTTTTGATATTTATTAAATGACATTTATAAATAAGTCTTTAGCCATATAGTCACTAAATTGTATAGTTTTATTGGGAATAATATGTATTATTAATGTAATAAATGTATAATACTTTTAAATATTTTCAACTCAACTAATCAACAATAAATTTTTTTCTTTCTCAATTGTAGTTTTAATGAATTTTGCCTTATTATTGACCGATTCCAAGAATTTGACTTCAAACTAATAAAATAATCCCTGTCCGGCTTACTGTCAAAATCGAATACCTTTAATGGGACACATCGAGTTAAATTTAGATTCAGTTAAATTTGGATTCGGGTCATTTTGGATTAAGTCAAGTCAAATGTAAAGCTAATGATAAGAACAATTGGTCAAAATAATCATGCATTCATTTATTTCATTAAAAGTCTCAAACTTTCAACAAAAATCAACTTCATACATCAAAATGCCTACAAAAAATGGTAATCGCCTAATCAGGCAGATGATATGCGAAGTACTAAATAATACAGTACAAATACAGTACAATTCAACTGAATTATTCGATATCAATCTACACCTTCAAATTGAATATTAAACCAAAAACCCAATTGGGTCATCCTAATTTTCAACAAACAAACAAATTACAAATCAAAAAATTATTCCATGAATTGAATTTTCACAACCCCAGAAAAATTAAGATCCGCAATACGAAATTATAAGTAAAATTTAAAAAATTGTGAAATGGGGTCAAAAAAGATTGAAACTTGATGCTAAAAATCTGCAGGAAAAACTTGATTGTTCTTTTATTTGTTTGATGAAGAAGGAGGAGGAGAAGAAATGAAACAATTGTTGGAAAATCATATTCTTGACAAGTTTCCTTTTAGGAGGAAAAATACTTCCAATTTTGGGTTTGAAGTAGTAGCAATTTTTTGAGGTTAATTGATTTTCCTCCATTTCATTTTGATTCTTCATTTTCTCTTTCATCTGCTCCATTTTTTCACTCGTTTTTTTTTTGGACAAAGACTAAAAGGAGTTGAAATTAAGGAATGTTATGAAATTTTTGAAAGTGTGACTCGAATTCTTTTTTGTGTGATGAGATTCTAGAGAGAGAGTGAAGGGATTATATAGGATGAAGGGGGAAAATGTGAAGGCACAAAAAATTAAGAAAGGAAAAAAAGAGAAGAAAATTCAAGTGCTTGGAGAGCAAGGAAATGGTAGGAGCCAAGAGGGGCCAGCCGGAGGTGAATCAAGAAGTTATGACTCAAGACTCAAGTGTGCAACATTGCAAGCTTCATCCAAAATAAAGGTTAAGAATACAATACAAAGGTTATTCTTTTCGGTAATAGAAAAATTAATTAGCCTTTTACTTCCTTTGTTCTTTTCTAGTTGACATGTTTCTTTTATCATGTTTGACAATACATCGATTTAATGATTGTCGATAAACCAATATGAGTAAATTGAACTAAATTGTAAGAAATTAGAGATAAACAAAGAAATGAAAAGAAAGGCAAGAAGTTTAGTTGTCAAGGAGCCAACGCTAAGTTTTTTGAGGAAACTAATTCAAGGCTTCAAGGGTGATGATGATGGTGGCCAATTAATTTGGCATTAAGCCACTAATTGGGATGAAAACCTAACCAAAAGGAAGAGTGGGGCGCTGGAGGTGAAGTCATGAACAATAAGGAAATGCACACAGTGCATGGAAGCCAAAGAAGTGACGGAATGACAATGTGTGGTTGGGAATAGGGGTGTACATAAACAGGACTGGACCTGAAAACCGACCTGAACCGGACCTGTTGGGACCGGACCTGATCCGGGCCTGTTGGGACCGGACCTAATCCGGACCTGTAGATTCAGGTCCGGTCCCGATCCTTAAAATTCAGGAATTTCGATTTTCCGGTGGCGGTCCCTGGTAAAAATCGGGGGTTTCAGGTCCGGACCTGAAACCCGGTAAAAAATACATATATTTTTTTAAATATATAACAAACCCTCCTTTCCAAACTCTTCCATAGTTCCATTTGCTGAAACCCTCCTTGCCTCCTCCTCCTGTTCTTCTCTCTCTTCCATTCGCTCCTCTCTTCTCTCTCTTCCATTCACGCTCCTCTCTTCTCTTTCTTCCTCCATTCACGCTCCTCTCTTCTATTCTATCGGGACCATGTTCGAGCTTTATACATGGTAAATTCGGTTTTAATGGTCAAATTTGATCATGAAAATTCTAGATCTAGAGTTTTCACAGTTAAATTTTACCAAATAAAACTCATAATTGATGTTTATAAGAGGTAAGTACGCTGTTCTTTAATTTTTTTTTCATTTATTTGGTTTTTTTGTCGATGTTCTTCCGTTTTTTTGCGAATTTTTGGGTGAATTGAGCGAGTTGGGTGAATTTGTTGTGTTTGGGGTTTTTTTTTGTTGTTTTGGTTGTTTTGGGTGGTTGTTTTGGACGGTTTTAGGTGAGTTGTTGTTAGGGTTTGGATTACGGTGTGTGGTGGAGGGGAAAGAGTAGCAACCATGGCTATTAAAACCGAGTTTATTAGGAAGGGGAAGACTGGAAGAGAGCCGATCTAACGGTCTGATGCAAATCAAATCGCCAGATTTCAAATTCTACAACTCCAAATTCGAAAAACCTCAATTTCAATCTCTGTTTTCGAATTTGAGGAGAGAGAAAGTTGCTGGAATGGAGCTTCAGAACATAGTGAAGGAAGCCCTAAATGCTCTCTATCATCACCCAGACGACGTTGTTCGTATGCAAGCTGGTCGATGGCTTCAAGAATTTCAGCGTACTTTTGGTTTTCGTTAATTTAACGATCTATTTCAAAAAAAATTAGTTTGAGATCTGAATTCAAATTTTGAGCAATTGTTATGAGTATTCTAGTTTTGATTGAGTTTAGTTCAATTAGGTTAAATAAAAGCTGATCGATGGTTGTATATTTTCTTAAAGATTCAAAGCAAATTTGTTCATTTTCAACAGGTTATTTGTTAAAAAAAATACAAAACAAGTCTATTCAGGTCCAATCCCGGACCGGACCGGACCTAGTTGTTCAGGTCTGACCCGGAACCGGAACTGTTGAATCAGGTCCGGTCTCCGGTCCTCAAAATTCACTAGGTCCGGTCCGGTTTTGGACCGGTGTACAGCTCTAGTTGGGAACTAGCCATCTTCACTCATGAAGACTACCAAAAGTACGTCCAAATACGGTATGATATAAAATTGTCAAAAAAGAGGGATAGGGCGACGAAGGGAACACCTTCAACTATAGATTAGATGGAGCAAGATATGAAGAACTTCGATAATCGATTAGGAGAATTAGAGACAATCATAACTCACATCTGCATTTATTTGGAGGCTGATGTGGGGTGGCGCTGAAGTTTATTTGCATATTTATTGCCACAAGCTGCTATTCGAAAAATTGAATCTTATGTTCTGAAAAATGATCCTGACAGAGGAGATTTACTTTACTGGCAGGGTAGGTAATAAAGGGAAGTTCAAGATTAAATCTACCTTGCAACTAATCTGAAATGAAGAGGAGAGTACAGATGATGGGTCTTGGGATTTAGTTTGGACTCTTTGGAGGCTTCGAGTACAGCAGCGAATTAGAGTTTTTCTGTGGCTTGTCATGCATGATAAGATCATGTGTAATGCAAATAGATACAAGAGAAATCTGACAAAGGACCCATGTTGTAAGCACTGTCCACATATTGAAGAAAATACCCTTCATGTGCTTCGTGACTGTGTTGCTGCAAGGGAGGTGTGGTAGCAGGTGGGTGGGCCTGCAAATGCTCGTGATTTTCGTGCAGGATCTCTTCAACAATGGCTAATTAGGAATATAAAGGTGCAAGCTCACAATGACATGTCTCCGGAAATTTGGCCTACTTATTTCTCAATTGTTATTTGGTGGATTTGGAAGAGGCGTAATGCTGTGACTTTCAATCGAAATATATAGTGAAATACCAGTAGATGTGAAGCAGTTCTTGTTGGATAGGTTTGAGGAAGTTTGGAGGGTGTTGGGTGATGATACTATAAGTTCTTCCCAACTGCCAGTGGCTCGTAGGGAAGCTTTCATTAAGTGGATGGCTCCTCATGTTGGGTGGCATTCCTTGAATTTGGATGGGGCTGCCAAAGGTGCTCCTGGACTTGTAAGAGGAGGGGGTTTAATCAGAGATGCCACTGGAAAGTTTAGCCATGCATACTCTTTAAAACTTGGACATTGTCACGTTTTCAAAGCTGAAGTGCTAGCAGTGGAGTACGGCTTAGAGCTAGCACAAAGGATGGGCATCACGAAGTTGCAAGTTCAGTTAGATAACAAGGCAGCAGTTGACATTCTTAATAGCAGCCAAAGTTATGGTGGAGAACGTGTTCACCACATTGCAAACTGTCAAAAAATTATTGCTAGTCCTAATTGGCAAATTGAGGTCAAACATATATTTAGAGAAGGAAACAAAGCTGCAGACTAGCTTGCCAACCAAGGAGTAACTCAGAACGACCGCATTGAGTTGATTCAAGTCCCCCCCGCGCTTTAGGTCGTATTTTACATAATGATGTAGTAGGTGTGGCTTTGTCACGGTTTGTTCCTCCGTTGTTTTTTATTTCTTGTTTTTTCTTGGGGCTCTGCCCCTCGTGTGCACCAAAAAAAAAAAAAACCTCACATATGCATTGAAAAATTAATTCAGACTCAACTAAATCTAAGTAAATCGAAAGGTCGAAGACTATAGATTACAATTTTAAGAAAAATAAAAAAAAAATTAATATGTTTGGACTGTTATGAAATATTTGTGGATATCCATTATCTTCCTTGTATTATTTCGGAATATTCTAGATCTAGGGTTTATATTCTTATCTAACCAAACCCTATATATATATATATATATATATATATATATATATATATATATATATATATATTATATGGAATAAAGATATACAGATTAATTTTCTATCAATCTCTTATGTTTCTCCTTATTTCACAACACCACTACTAGAAAACAGTCAATCAACAACGGAAAACCCTGAAATTCCGTCGGAAACGCCCATTTCCGACGGAATTCCGTCGAAAAGCACCGTCGTAGTACACATTGTAGGAATTTCGCGATATTCCGTCGGAAAGGTCTATTCCGACAGAATTTCTGACGGATTATGTTCTGTCGGCGCTTTTGTTGACTTTAAGTTAAAATCCGTCGCAAGGTTTTGACGGAATATTCCGTCGGAGTAGGATACGTTCCGATGGAAATTATCGTCGGTGGTGGAGATGTTCCGACGGAATTTTCCGTCGGAGGAGGTATATTCCGACGGAAAATTCCGTCGGAAAAGTAAATAAAAAAATAAAAAAAAGCACACCTTCCCCACCCAGATCCACCCCCGCCACCAGCCCTCACCACCCACCACGTCCCCAACCCATTTTCCCACACCCAGACCCCTAACCCCACCCAGACACCCCACCCCACCCCACCCAGACCCAGACCCACCTAATAACCCAGATCCACACCAGCCTTACCCATCCCCTGCCCTCCCTACGCACCCATACCCTCTGCCGAAAGCACCCAAACCACCCACCTCCACCCCATAAACCACCTGCTAACTGTGAAACACCACCCAAAAAACCACCATAAAACCCACAAAAATCAAATGAAAAACCACCCACCTCAACCGCCAAAAACAACCAAAATAAACCACCATAAAACCCACAAAAATCAAATGAAAAACCACCCACCTCAACCGCCAAAAACCACCAAAAAAAACCACAAAAAAAATAAAAATAAACAAAGTAATTCGGAAATTAATAAAATTCATGAAAATCACATAAAAAAACCCACAAAAAAAACTCAAAAAAAATGAAAACTAGATAACACTGTAAAAAACCCGAATTAAAATAAGAGAAAGAGAAAAGAAAACTTACCTTGAACTCCATCAAAACCCCGAAATGGCTTGAATTTGGTTTAATAAGGTCAGGCCAAATTCAACCATAAAACCTCTAGATCTAGAGGTTTCATGGTCGAATTTGACCAAAAAAAACCATGAAAAAACCGCACCGAAGAGGAAAGAGAAGGGAAACCGTAGAGGAAAGAGGAGGAAAAAGAAAAAGCAGGAAGAGGAAAGAGGAAAGAGGAGGAAAGAGAAAAAGAGAGGAAGAGGAAAGAGAAAAAGCAAGAAGAGGAAAGAGAAAAAGAAGGAAGGGGAGGAGGAAAAGATCCGGGTAAACCAGGAAGAGGAAAAAGAAAAAGAATGGGGAGGGGGAAAGTGGGTTTTTAAGTAGGTTTTTTTTTTTATTTATTGAAGCAAAATCCGTCGGAATAAGCATTAAATTCCGTCGAAACTTTAATTTTCCGACGGAATATTCCGTAGGAAATTTCCTACGGGTTTTATTTCCGTAGGTAGTCCAATATTCCGACGGATTTTTTTTCCGTTGGAAGTTTAATGTTCCGGCAGAATATTCCGTCGGAAAGCCTATATTTTCCTACGGATTTATATTCCGTCGGAAATTTCCTACGGAATTTCTGTTTTTTTCGACGGAAAAACGTGTCCGTCAGAAGAAGTCCGTCAGAAATAGATCTATTACTAGTAGTGCACGTTATCAGCACCAATCTCTAGCCAATTGAGCATACAATACGATTAACCACTATAATCAAGAAAACCAATACAAGAGCCCTGCACGTTTGATTATAGTCATATCTCAAGGATAAACAAAGGTACGCATATACTCCATATTATGCTTAGTTATTAATTAGTTCTCCATATCAATCTATTTTTCACGACAACCGATAATTCGTCTAAGAAATTTGATGCACTATGAATCTATGATTTAATCTGCCTAACTTGTTTTAAATTTTTTTGAGTACTATAGTTTTTATTAATAGAGTCACTATTCGTGACACTTTCTTTGCATAATTCTATTATTTATTTGGATAATTGAATTTATTAAATCGATAGTTATGGATCATGTCGCTTACTTTTGCGATTGTTCAAATAAATGACATAATTATTAGCTTTATATATTAATACTAGATGGTGTGTTTATCCCATTACCCACTAAAATCTTGCGTCATTAGATTTTTTTTTTTTTTTTTATAATCCATGTCATCATGTTTATGCATGCATATTTGTTAAAATCCCGATCCGGATCTTACGATCCTACGATTCTACGATACAAAATTGCGTGATCGATCCGGATCTTTGGTAGGATCTTAAAGTTTGTAGGATCTTACGATCCTACTCTGATATTAATTATGAGTGGTAGGATCTCAACACGATCCTACGATTTTATTACAATCCTATGATCCGATCCAATATTTTACTATAATATGAGACTTTGATTTATTTTGACATATTTTTTTATTACTCATTTGGTTATATGCACCTAAATTTAATGTATTCAATAATTATCATTAATAAATTAGCGAATCCGAGACATTTATATGATTTTATCAATTGACAACTTGCAATTGTCATAGTTAAGGTCTCATTCTTGACAAATTTGCACATAATTTATTAATTTAAACTTGTGTTATTAATCTTCTAACTACCATACAGACAAAGCGAAATGAAGATCGACCTTTCTTAAGCAAACCAATGTCTTTTAGCATTGAAACCCCTTAGAAGAAATGTTTTTAAGTCAATATATAGCATAATATATAATATTATTCGTTATTTACGATCCGATTTTATCGATTCGATCCCACCCCCCCTCATCGATCCAGGGTAGGATCCCGATCCTAATAACCTTGATGCATGTATGTAATTGAATTTCTCTTTAGTTGCATGTGATTACTGTCTACTTTGTTTATTTGATGCATACCTTTTATAAGTTTGATCAATGATTTGTATGGTTATAATTTACACATAATTACTTCCTTAATGTTTGATCAATGTTTTGTATGGTTATGTCAAAATCCTAACGCACTGATGTATTCTAATTAGCATTCTTCTACAACTTTATTAAAACCTCAAATTAAACCAGTTATCAAGAAATATTTTATTGTAGTTTTTGTTGATTTATTATTAAGAAAAACTTGATTTTGGGAGTCGTCATTACTGTGCCGAAAGGTGTGTAACTAACCTCACAATCGTATTATTGTTTTTAGTCATATTTGTATTTTGAAAATCGCAAGTCATTGAATTTATTAAAAGAATAAAATAGTGGTACGGTGTTTGAGACTAAGTCATTGATTGGAGCCTCAAGCCTATTGAAGTTTATTTGATCATACATGAACTTTTGTTGTATATGTTGACACTCACTTAGGGGGTCAGTTTATGTTGATCTTTAAAGTGTCATAAAGTTGAATTGTTATTTCTCCCTAGTCTAGTTGGCATGCAATGGATTTGTTGAGAACGGAGTAAAAACAAAGTGTTTTTGAAAGAATTCTTATTGACATTACATCATGGGAAATTATAATGTTTAATAATTAAGACCTAAACTAATTCGTTATGTTGTTATGTTACTTGTACATAGTATATTGTTTCATTAGTTGATTACAAGTCAAATGTGTATGAGGTTCATAATCTTTAATAATTGTTCCTAGTTGATTGTTTAGAGGAAATGTGTGATATTAGTTTTCCAATTAAGCTCATTAGAAATAACTGTTGTAGTTATGAAATTCATAAATTGAGAATTTATATGAGTACTATTTAGTTATTGAGGTGCTTGATCTTGATTATCAAAAATTTAAGTTATTATATAAAATATCTGTAGGTGTTTTGGTAGAAGATATTTAATTGTGATCTATAGTCATAGTAAGTAGTCAAGTACTTAAGTGTACTGTTGGATAAATTTATAAGAGAGACTCGTAATTGCATATAACTTGGAGCTCCTTAAATTTGTGAAGGAGAATAATTTAAATTGGCTTCTAGTATTTACTTTATTCATGAAACATTCACATATTTTTCTTTTGATATGATGTTTTATATACGATAAGTGTCTAAATGTGTGCCAATAAGTTATTTATATAAACTTTCATGTGAATCCTTTATTTCCCACTCTGATAATTTTGCTAAGAGATGCTTTGATCAACTTGATTTTACTATTCTATAGTACTAATACTATTATATTTTGTTAATTAAACTCAAAAATTTTCAACCTTTCTTCTTCTTGAAAATACATATCATCAAAGGTTTGTGCTGCTGAAATGTGTAACAAAATTTTTTCAAGCCACTATATATAGTAGCAAATGAAGAAACTAGTCAAATAATACAAGTCTTAATACTGGACCATTGAAGTGCCACAAACCCTTAGTATATAGCGAAAAAAATTATTTGTGTATCATCGTATTTCTAAGTTTGATGCCTAGATACCCCAATATTCTCATAAATTATAATGAGACACAATTGTGAGAAAGATTTTAAATTATGAATGATTGTTTGTTAGATATATATTATATATGCAGCAAACTATTTTTATTAAATAAATAAATAAATAAAATAATTGACGTTTACATTGTACTAGATATACCATTCCCGAAAGTGAATGAGATTTTGTATGATTAAAAGGATAACAAGCATGTTTGCATGATGATTTCTTTGGTCTTTTTTTTTTTTTTTTAACCAACCCTTGACTCTTGTTCAAGTGCAAGGAAGCAAATTATTTTTGCCAACGAGACACAAGGTAGGTTGATTACATGATGATATCTTGATTATAATTCATTAAAAAGTTTATAAGAATTGCAAACATAATTTTAACTGAGAAACAATCTATATGAGTTTAAGGAATTTAACATGACATTGTGAGCTACTTAAATTACATGATCAATATTTTTTTATTATACCCATAGTTTT